TCCATCGAAGTTCAACCGCCATGACCGGTCACCCTTTCTATTCTCCAGCAGTAAAAGTTGCTCTTCGGAGCCGTCGGAAGGTTCCATTTCCTCGCTCACTTAAAAATTCACTTGTATAATTGAAAGCAAAATGGTAGTGTGCAAATGTAGTGAAAAATCGAAGGGTTTTTTGGGGAATAATAATTATCTGGTTGCCGATGGCGGAATTTTCCCAACCAGAAAGGGTGGAACTGAAGATGACTTTTATATATTATTGTGTGGATATTGTACGTTCTCGCTACTCCTTTGGACTGTTGGTCCACGTATGAAACCTGTGTTAACGTGGCAGGATGCGATGATGACGTGACTGGATTTGATGGCGGGGGACGTGTACGGTTAGGATGAGAATTAAAGCGATTGATGCGAAATCACGGAGTGGATTATCATTACGAAAACTGTTATTCTGGGGCGTACAATTCGCGTATTGGTGGGTCCCAACATCTTTGGTACGTCACTTGCATTTTTATTTTATTTTCCTAAAAGTTTGTAAAATTGATACTTTTAAATTTTTGAAAATAAATATTATTTAAAAGTTAAAAGAAAGTCCCGTTTAACAATTATTATTATTTCAAAATTCTTTAATTCTCATAATTATCTCCAATCATATATTTACTTCTTTCAAAATTCTTTAATTCTCATAATTATCTCCGATCATATATTTACATAATGAAATATTTTAAAAGTAAATTCAAAATTTTTTCCTATTTTTTAATCTCATATTCTTTAAAAAAAAATAATATTCAAAATTCCAATTTCTCAAAATAATGACCCTCAAACATAAGCTAAATATTATTTAAAAGTAAATTTATATCTTATAAGCGCAACCAAAAATGCTTGTGACTTGCGCATAAAAGAGGTAACAAGAAGTGCAATCCAATGAAATCTTAATTTTATCTATTAAAGGCAATATGTCATTATTAAATTAAATTCATGTTTGTCTCTCATTCTTTTAAAACTCATTTTTCTACATATTCATTTTTAATTATACGTTCATACAATAAAATATTATATATGTAAATCAAAAAAAAAATTATTATTTAAAATACTAATTTTTTTTTAAAAAAAAATGGCCACCAAACAAGGGTTAAGCTTCCTTAAATGAGTTTTTGATGGATTTGGAAAGACTAAATTTTAAGAAATTTAATGGATTTGAATAGATTTGCACAAAATTCATAAGAATCTCAATAAAAATGGTAAAATTTTAAAAGAGTTTTTTATATGTATTTTTTAAATTTAAAATATTTCCAAATCTTTTAAAATTACTCTATTAATAAAATCCTTATAAATTCATGAGTTATTGAAGATACTTAAATTTTAAATGATTTAATTAAAATTCATTAAAATAACAATTCGGGACACTTAGATTTTAATGAATTTCATTAATATCCATTAAAATCTGAACCGGGGACACCTAAATTCAAAAGAATTTTTAAAGTGCGATTATATTCAAACCACAATTTTTATTTTTTGCACCACACTTTAATTGTACTTAACGTTTTTTTTTATATTTACTCATCATAACAATTATGTCCATAACAATCTTTCATATAATTCCTATCCTCAAACTTTTCACCCGTTAACACATTTTGTATTTGATAAAAATTTATGTCCAAAAGTCCGTTGAAATTACGTAAACTAACGAGTATTTTTAAAATAAATAAATATGCAAAAAAAAATATTTTTCCCTCTTTTTTAAAACATGAACATATAATATGTTGATATCAATTATCATCAAGTATGAGACGCACTAATTAGTGAAAGATTGAATATAAGAATTCCACGAAAAATATTTAAGAAAATAATTGCTACAACGAGCAAAAATTGAGAAATTTAACTACAATTAAAATGTGGTATATTAAATAAAAAATGTGATGGTAATATAACCACTCATTTTTAAAACTCATCAAAATTCCAGTTAAGAACACCCTATTAGTTAAAAATCAAAATCTTTGTAGATTTTTTTAAAAAAAAATTAATGAAATATGTGATTAAAAAGTTGTAAATCTCATGAAACCCTTATTTGGCATTCATTTTCTATTAAAACTAATTTTTCCCCATAACTCATTTTCAACCACACATTTTATATGTTTCACAACTTTTATCAATTTTTCATTCATATTTACTTTTATAAAATTTATTAAAAATCTAATTTTAATCTAAATCGAGCAGTGACCAAATGTACTATCAAAGTTAAATTTTGACTTTGACTTTTGTCAAAAAATTTAAGTAAACCACATAGGTGCTATATATATATTGTGTCTTTCAATTTATGCATGGTGGGTGATATTATTTTTCTTGATAAATATTTAACAGTGTTATTCGTGTGTAAATTAACCGACCAATAAATAACAGAGTTAAGAGGTACATGAAATTTTTGTCAACGGTATATATTGTCTAGTTTAAATCATAACTTTTTAACCACAGATTCAAAGGAGAAAAAAAACGTTTTTCAAATAATACTTCTCAAAAAATCTTTATCAAACAAGCGTATAGTTTTAACGTTTTAGAGAATTGAAGGAAATAGACTCTCCACTATTTAAAGAATGCTCATAAAACACAAGAAATTGGGAAGTAAACTTTGATGGCAAATTGTTGCTTTAATAGACGGAATCGCGATTAAGGGACACTGGAAAAAAAAAAAAAGAAAATTGAACATTGAAAGAATCATATCAGTAAAGTACAACAATCTGCTGGAGTTTCTGAACCACTTGTTACGTAATCTCCACCAGATTAAAAAAAAACTGCCCTGAAAAAATTTTTTAAAGTATATTTGTACATCTACCTTTTGAATTGGCTAAGTTAATTCCTTGCTAGTCGGACTATAGTAAGCACCACACGTACTCGATTAAAAACTAGGTTCTTGGTTTTGTGACTGGTTTAATTTTTAGATGATGTTGCTGCAAAATGAAGCACGACTTTAGGAAAAGCATGCGACGCACTAGCGACGTGGCCAGCGAAGTCACCTTCATTCTTGGCTAATGTGCAACGTCCGCGGCCTCCTCCTCCAGGAATGTATGTGCATGGATTGCCACCGGGGGGTGGGATGGGGCCTCTTGGAAGAGATTGAATGAGAAGATTTTTCTTTAACCATTGCTCTCCTTCTAGGGGTCTTATTGCTCTAACCTTACCCAGTATCAATAAAAAGAGTATTGAGAAAACGAAGATTATCTTGATGCAATTATATCGAGGCGTGGCCATTCTTTCTTTGATTCGAAAATCAACAACCTCAAGAGTTGAATATGAGAGTCTCGGAAATTCGTTTCTTCTGATATTTCTATCTTTCTTTTGATTTATGCAATGGGTTTACTGGTACGATGGTTTATATATAAGGATGCACAGACACAATCGAGTGTAGCACTCAAAGTTTGATAATGTAATATGATAAAACGTGGGTGGTTGACTGAAGAGCCGCGCTTTGAAATTGGAGTCTAAATGGAGAAACACGGGAACTTTGAACTTGATTTGCAGCAGAGAATGAGTCCTATTTCATGTTCTTTATGGCATTATGTATTTGACTTCTTCAGAATTTCAACTGCACACCCTTCCGCACATGGGGTTTTTTTGAAAAATAAAATAGAAAATAAAAAAAATGTTAGACTTGTTTATGACAAAATAATAGACATGCTTTATTTTATAGCATGAGCGCAAGAAACACATAAAACGTGGATTTGTAATTGTTTCAAAAATTTCAAAGTATACGGCCCTTGTTTGGTATAGTTAAAAATCAAGTGTATGGTAAATTTTGATAGAAGTTAATGAAATATGTAATTGAAAAATTGATAAAAATCTTGAGTTACGTGATTAAAAATATTTATTAAAACAGGACAAATATAATGAAAATTTACAAAAATTAACAATTAGCAATTATTTTCATTGTTAGAATGTTTAGAGTCTTTGTTTCAATGATGAATGAAGCATGTGCATGTATGGGGCTAACCACCGCTGTGCACAACGACGATGGATTTGGGATTTTGGGGTGGTTCTTCCTCCTCCAATTTGCTTAGCACGGTGGTTTTGTTAGTGATGGTCGGTGATGGAGGTGCGTGAGTGGTGGTGGTGAGGTGGCGCGACGTTTGGTTGATAGTGGTGCAGTGGTGGTAGTTATGTAGCACAACATTTGGTTGGTGTGGGTGAGCTGCATTTGTAATCAATTATTTGAGTGATTATAACCAATAAGACATTTAAATTGTGGTCAATGAATAATATTTTGTTAATAAAATAAATAATACGTGACAAAAAATATGAGATTGTGACTCATAATTTATTAAGTTGTAACCAAATAATTTGATACTTTGTGATCGAAAAATAACTTGTTACCAATTAATTTGGTATTTGTAATCGATAAATAAGTTGTGACCTATAAATTTTGTGATATGATTGAGAAATAATTTGTAACTAATTGATTTGATAATTTGTGATAGTGAAATAAATTATGACTTATAAAAATTATATTTCTACCGAAAAATAATGTGTGGCCTATTAATTTGATAATTTGTGATCGACAAATAAATTATGATCTATAAAATTTATGATTTGTGATTGTGACGTTCTGTGATTGTGACTAATACGTAAATATGATCATTGTGACTTTAATATATTTCATCACTTATTTGATTAATACAAATATTTTTATTCATTTAATTAACTAGTAAAATTTGAATTGTGACTTGATTTTTGAAACTTTAAAACAAGTTTCTTAATATTGGAATTGCATCATGTCACTACCTTAGATACGTATTCTTCCCTATATAAAATATCGTGTGGGCTCATAAGTTACGTGTTCCAAGATGAAAGTTGTACATTCTAGTTAGACGTATGAGCAAAAAATTGCAAAACTAGAAAAACGAATCAAAATCGTTCTTTTAATCTTTTGTTTGGTGCCACGTAACTCGTTAACGAAACTATTTTGAAATAAGTTAAATCGTTCTAAAATTGTATGGTTTACGTTTCAAAGTTTGAACGACAATTTGAAATCAAGTCAAATCATTTAAAAATCAAAAAGAAAAAAAAAATAGAATTTAAAAAAATTACATTGTATCCAAAAGTTAGACTTATAAATTTCAATCTTCACATCTAAAATGAAATATAAATATTAAATTTTAATTCAAAATTTAATAATTTGGTCAATTGTCAACTACAAAATATCAATATTTTGTTAACTATCCTAATCACGGAATCCAATAGTTAATTTTTTTTTATCACTAATACCTTTGAAAATATCTTATAAAAATTGATCAATTGACGATAAAAGTAGATGTAAAAGTATATAGTCAAACAACAGCTTTAAATCAAACTAAATCATTAAGTTTAGGTTTGAAAAAATCTCAAACAATTTTAAATGGTATGATTTAGATTAGAGTTTTTTCTCAAACCTTTAACAACGACTTGATTTAAAAACCTATCAAAATTGATCAAATCGGGCTGATGAAACGCCCTAAATTTCTACTAACCATACATTTTCATTAACTGGTCAATGTTGCACCTGCATTGGGCGTTATTATGAAATATTTTATAAGTGCTATAAAAATAATATTTAAATATGTGTGAATGTCAGTTAATTTAAAATTAATACCAAGAAACATATACGTGACAATGAATGTTAAATCATTTATTTAATTTTCAATTAAGTAAAATTAGATGTTAATTAGCATATATGAACGTGAATAGTGAAATGCATTATTGAATATGAATTTCTAATTGACTTATAATTGTAATTAATAGTATTGAAATGCATAAATGGAGATCGATATTAATTAAATGAATGTTAATGTTAACTAATTGAGAATTAATAGTAGTGAATTTATACATTAATGAAATCACATAAGTGCAATGAATCTATCAAATGTAAACGTATATTAATGATAACTAAATGGTTAAATAAAATCAATACGTATTGAGAAACGAAAAGTAAGGTATTGTTGAAATAATTAAATTATAATATGACTAAAATGGTCAAAAAAAAGATTCTCATTTGATGTGGTGTATAATTTCAATTAAGTAAAATTTTATGTTAATAATTAAATTATAGTATGACTAAAATCGTCAAAAAATGATTCTCATTTGATGTGATATGATAAATGTATTTTATACACTTGTCTAGACCATTAAATTAAAGTATTTATTAGTGATTTGGATGAATTATAACTTAATTATGTGTTGATTATATTTGTTATGCTGAAATCAATGCAAATTGGTGGATTAAGAAAATTCAAAGTTTTGAAATAAAAGTGTAAACATCCAATAGTTGATTCGGAGCACAAAACGATGATTGAAGATCATATCGGATCAATTAGATGCAATTGGAGGTCAAATGAGTGAAATATAGTGGAAGTATTTTCACAAATTAATTCCCAACTGAAGAAATTATACTCCGGATTTTTAGCCTCAACTTAAGACCAATTTTTCGGATATCAAACATTCGAATTGGAAAATTTTTACTTATAAGAATTATATCCCTTTGAATTACCTTTCAAACCCATTTTAAATCGCCTCAATCGAATATCTATAGAGAAAATTATGACCAAAATATTGAGAGCTGCTCATAGATGAACATAAATGACCTGCGCGCGCAGCACCCTATTTTCTCCAACCCGAGAGCCATTTGGTTCTACGGGGCGCGCGCGGTAGTCATACCGGTGCACTATCACGCATTTCTGCAAATGAATCTTTAGTTTCCTTTCGCGATTCAAACTCTTTTGAAAATCAAATTGAACGCGATTTTGACCTATTTTCTGGTTCTTGTAAATAGAGAATAAGGGCTAGACATAAAAGGACATCTCTCTTGCCTCTTCACACACACTAGTTTCTTCAAATTTATCAAGAATAAGAGGCTAATTTCTATATATTGAGATATGAGATCAAGCTGTAGCAAGGAATTGAAGGTTAACTACATCAAGATTTTGAATAATTCAACATTGGGCTTGAAGATCAACTTCTTTTGATTTATTTCATGATTCGGGTCATATTTTTCTTGTAATCTATATATTACCATGTTAGCCTAGATCCGCTTTTGTATTGGATAGAGATGAACCCCATTTGTTATTGATTTTAATTCAAGACTATTAATTTAGTTTATTTCTTGCGTTTCTTGATCAATTTTTCATACCAATTGCATTATTTAATTGATTGGCCACCAATTAGGTAATTAGTTGCTTGTTATAGTATCGAGAGACTCACAATAAATTTAGAATACGACAAATTAACATATGCGCAACAGATATTAGGAATAACATTTATCACATATGCAATTATATAGATAATCTAAATTTTAATGCATTCTAATCATTCGAATTCGGGTTTGGAATAAATTTGGGTCGTGGTTATAATATATTTAATTTGTCTTGGAAAATAAAATTATATATCATAGTTTTATCGATTGTCAAAAACGCATGAACGGAATTAGATTACAAATCAAGAATTGAAATAAATAACAATAGGCGGATTCGAGATCCAATACAATCGTCCATAAATTGATAAAAATCACATTTTACCGCTTTCTTAGATTAATTAACATAAAGCAAAATCAAACTATATTGTATTCACATAATTCGAATCCCATAAAAAAGTTAGCAAACTTGAATTGAATTTATTCTCTATGGGACGGTACTCTCAACTCATCAATTATATTACTTGACAACGATTCCGTGCGCTTGCGAGTTTCACATGAACATGATATATAATTCTAATTAAGTAAAATTGTATGTTAATTAGTACATAGACGTGAATAATAAACTGCATTTTTGAATGTGAAATTCTAATTAACTTATAATTATAATTGACAACACTGAAATGTATAAATGAAAATGAATATTAATTAAATGAATGTGAATATTAATTAATTAAAAATTAATAATATGAAATTCATACATTAATGAAAGCAAACAGGTGAAACGAATCTATCAAATATACATGTACATTTATTATAACTAAATGATTAAATAAATTAAATGCATATTGAAAAACGAAAAATAATGTATTATTGAAATAATTGGATTATAGTATGTCTAAAATCGTCAAAAAAATATTTTTCACTTGATAAATCTATTATATTATTGAAAAAATATTTATTTTTCAACTGATATTTAATATATTGTAGATTATTTCAAATGGATGAGAATACAATATATTTTTGGGAAATAAATATTTTATAAATCATAAACCCTGTTTAAATAACATAATTATTTGGTCCGACTTGAGCC